AGAAAAAGTAGCTTGCAAAGCTGTCGCATCAGTGCTACGTGATTAAAAGCAGAGCTTTCATTGCCGTCTAATCTCACACGCACGTCTTCCTATCTTTTTGAGGACCACACACAGCGCTCAGCCTCGCTCTGTGCCGTCTTTTTCCCCAAGTTTGCCGAGAGGTGGGTAGGGAGGGTCGCAAAAAATAGCTCTTGACTTGATCTGGCCTTATTTAAATAAAAATGACTACATGCCGTGAAATTCTTAGAGGGGCGGGCCGTCTCGTTGGTGGGGGGCCATGTCATTAGCACCTCTAGTAATATATTTACTGAGAAAAATGTTGACGTGTTCAATACTTATTTTACCCACTGTAATTAATCTAATGTTTTAAATAATGTCAGAAAAACTGTTTGTGTTATGGATTTGTTAACAGAAGAGAAGCAGAAAAACGTCTCATTTCACAACACAAGTCAGCAGATTTGACACCAATTTTTAGCTCAATGTGATCTGAGCAGAACATAATGTAACAGTTTAAAATTAAAATAATGTAAAGTCGATGTAATCACTGTTCTTTATTGAAATGGTTAGCAGATATTAGCTTTTGGAGCATTTATACAGAGTTTAGCACTGTTGAATCATGCTACAATTTAGCACAAATTATTAAATATTACAGCTGATTTGTCTTCTGATTAATATTTAGACCTACAGAGTGTAAAATAATATTATAAATGTAATTATTTTTAGGTTTCTGTTAGAGGAATCTGACTTGTTGAGAAGATGTTAGCTAATAGAGACAAGTTTCATCCTATAAACAGAGAACATTTTCTAACTGTTGACTGGTAAATATAAATATTCTTATTTTTTATGACAGTAAGAAGAAATAATAAATATACTTTATTACTAGCTGAAGTCATCATTTTTCAACTAGCTAAAGTCTAGTAACAGGCTGACTTCAGGTCTGGTTTAGATCATTGTTACTTGTAAATTATATATTTTTCTGGTATAAATCTGCTGTTTTACATGCTGAAGTCATCATTTTTCAACTAGCTAAAGTCTAGTAACAGGCTGACTTCAGGTCTGGTTTAGATCATTGTTATTTGTAAATTATATATTTTTCTGGTATAAATCTGCTGTTTTACATGATTGTTGAATGAGATTAACATAATTATTAATTTATTGTAAAAACATGACAGATAATCTGTGAAACAGATCTGGTTCAGCTTGCTTAGTTTCTATGGAGGCTGTGAGCTGTTGCCCTGTTAGGTCTCCGTTTCTGCTCCTCCATGCTGCCACAGACGCTACTAGTGTACGGTATGGGCAGGGCTCAGTCTAGCGATCTTTATATTTAAGTCTATGGTAGGAAAGCTGCAAAGGATGCTGGGAAAACTTATATATATATATTACTTTTTACAATAATTTTGAGTGTGGACTTTGTTTTTCATGTTAAGGTTTTTTTACTTGTAAACTGAACCATGAGTCAGAAGATCTGGTCCAAATAAAAGAGGAGAGTCTGAATGCAGAAACATCTGTCCTCAGCTCGGGGATGATGTCACTTTGTGGTTCTTGGTGGAGACCGTATGACACGGTTTTATTCTCAGAACAGCTGAATTGACCATGTCACTGCTGCATGTAAGTTATTAAATGGTGACGTTTTTTGGTGACAAAGAAAATAACTGATATTTTATTAGTGGGAGTTAAGTTCGTTGTTAAATAAACGAATGAGTTTTGTCACGTGGGTGGAGCCACGTGTTTAGTAACGTGGAAACTCCTCCCCCTTTCCCCTTGAGCTGCTGCACTCCACCGCTCTTCCTGTTTTCTTTGAAAAAGCGAAGCAGGAGTGATTGTCTCTGGTTGAGCAGGTAAAAATAAAAATATTACCAGGAAAAAACAACAACCTACAAATGTTTTTTTTACTGTCCGTGTCTCAATTCCTATTGTTTGTTGACAGGAGGAATTTAAAAGATTCAGATTATTTGTGAATGTCACATCTATAAATGCAAATGTTAAACTACTCTGTAAAATATTTTCCACTCTTAGTAGATTGGCAGATGAGCGGATACGCTCAGCTCACCACGGCTTCTGTTGTTTCAACAATTCAGTTTCTTATTCAGCTAATTTCAGCACAGTCATTTAAAACTCAACATTCACTCTTTCTCTAAACAATAGATTTTTAACCATAAATCAACTTTTTTTTTATCAATCAAACATGTTTTTGTGTTTTTTGGTGTCTCTCCAAGGACAGTCTTTGTGCCTTGTTTGTGTTGTTTGAGGATTTAAATCAGATGTTAGATATTAATCTTTCCATACAGGGAACTCATCAGAAACCTGAAATGAACAAAAACAAACCAAAAAAAAAAAAGAGTTTCTGAAACTTGTATTGGACGAGTTTACGTTTGTCATTATGGCTGCTGGACCTGCAGTGACGTCTTTCAAGTTCAAATGATTTAAAGGGTTTTAATTTTCATCTGGAAGTTGTTGCCTTTCGGTGCGTAGAGAAACTCTGGCTCACGATGGAGCTGCTTTTTCAAAACAAACCTGAGCCGTTGCAGCTGTGTGTGTCGTATCCCTTTTAATAAAAGGTGCAAAGTTTTAGTGCTTTTCCAGACAGGAGGCTGGTGAGGAGGACTGAAGAGTTATATTACTCAGTTCTGCTGCCAGGTAGCTGCAGGGAAAGCTTTGACTAAAGGGTGAATCTGATATCGTAGAGGAGTGTTTCTGATTCTCAAGTAGCTGCTTTCTTACATCTAAAGATAAATTAAAAGTAGCTCACAGTTTGAATRGAGCTGCAGAAACAGGAAGTGCCTCAACTATGAGCTCATATAACAGCATCTTTGTGGACAAGCTGAATGGTTTGATGCGAATAGTTAAAATTAAAAAACGTACAGAATGAATTATAAATAGGGAAACGGGAATGGCTGTTAAAAATTTAGACTTTAAGGAGATTATTTCAATTAGTCTGATTACTTTTGGGTCACTGTTGGTTTAATGTGCTCCCTTCTACAACCATTACACTTCACTTTATTCTAGGAACATTCTTTATTCATTCTTATTCTTGTATTATTATAACTTTTTCTTGCAATATTTTTACTGTATTTTGGTATGACTTTATCCTCATAATACTTCAACTTTGTTCTTTTATTGTTTTGACTTTATTTTAGTATTATTTTGACTTTATTCTCTTATTATTTCAATTTTATTTTGGTAATATTACAATTTCATTCCTGTAGTATTTCAGCTGTATTCCAGTACGGCTTTATTCTTATATTATTATAACTTTACACTTTTAATATTATGTATTCATTCCTGGAAAAAAAAGTCTGGCCATAAACCTCCATCAAACTAAAGAGCTAAAAGATTATCTGCTGACTTCTTTAGATTTATTGGGGTTTTTTCTGTGTACAGTGCCCTGAGACAACACTTGTTGTGATTTGGAGCTATATAAATAAAGTGAATAGAATAAAATCAGAAACAGGTGATTGTCAAGCTGTCTGCCCTGCCATCCCCACATCACCTCATCTGGTTATTTCTTTCGGTCAACGGTTCACCTCCTCGCCCACGTTCCTGCCAACACGTCCGTGTCAGTGTCACAAAAAGACAAATATTTGCCTGCTGTGTCGACAGTGAAGGGGTCCGTCGTTTGGTGACGACATGAGATTACGATCAGTCGCTGCGGCGAAACAAACTGGAGGAATTACAACAGATTGAATCTCAGATCTGAAGGGTTTACATGAAACTATTAGGAAATGATTAAGGTTAAGATGGAGAATCGCGGACAGCTGATGTTAGAAGACAGAAAAATGGACATCATTCAGTCAGTTCTACAGATATTGAGCTAAAACTAGATGTGCTTGTAACTGAAAGCATGTAAATTCGATACAATAGATCTGACCTAGGTTTGACCACAACGCTGTCATTTTTCTGAAAAATGAAAAGCAGTGGGCGGTACGCATTACTTCAAGGAACGTTAGGCCTTTATTTTGTAAAGTAATGGTCCAAGTTTGTGGATGTTTTTGTTCTGTTATTTTTGAAAGTTCCTCTGAGAAGTTGAGTTCAGTGAAAATATCCTCAAAAGACCCAGTTCAAACTGCACTTATTTACTCTGATTTCTCTCTTTCTCTGCATATATAAACACACACACACTCCTACACACACAGCAACAAATAAAAAGAAAGACCCCCCCTTCTCTTCCTGCCCTCACACATATTGTACATGCACGTGTTTTTTAAAGCCTGGAAGGAGGAGGCAGACAGAAAAAGCCACAGAGAGGCGAAGGGAGGGAGGAGTGCGTCTCCAAAGCGAGGAGAGTTCAGCTCTGAACTTCTTACATTTGAAACCGACTCTTCCTGCTGATATTTTGACTCCACCATGCAGCTCCCGCACGCTGCTGAGGGAGTAACTGTTTGAAAAACCCTCCACGCCGCTTTGATCCCCCTGTTTGCTCTCCTCGCGTTGGATTTTGGAGTCATGCCACAGGAGCCCGGCGTGGAGGGCTTCCCTCCGTCTGCCTGCGCGTCACTGGAAACATGCTGCGGTGGGAAGAAGGAGCGGAGAGCCTTCAGGAGCCGAGGGGCAGGGGCGCGCTCGCGGGAGGACGAGGACAACTAGTGGACGCCGGAGGAGAGACGCTCGGGGACATGAGTTTGCCCACCAACTGCGTGTTCCTGACCCCCTCGGTCCAGAGCCGCTGCCTCAAAATGCGCAGCGGGAACGTCTGCGGGTCGCCGTGTGCCGTCAACCGGCCCATCGACATCGTTCAGAAACGCAGGCGGTAGGACAGATGTTCCTCCTTCCAGATGTTGTTGCACAGTTTTTAACACCGTCCTCAACGAGATTTTAAACTGTACTTCGCAGAAACATTACTGAACTCTTTGCAGTAGTATTTTTAAATCTGTTATAATCATTCATGTAGAATTTCATACTTATTTTCTCTTTCTCAGCTAATCTTTAGCAGCTCTAGTTTGACATTCACTGATGCAAAGAAGAAAAACGCAAAACTTGATATCTCCACTAAATGTTAAGTTGTGAAATTGTGAGGGATCAGAGTCAGAACTCAGAGTTATTAAACCTTTGAGTCAGTTTAATCCAGAGAAACTGTAAGAGCAGCATGAGCTCCAGCACATGTTTAATTTAAAGTTTAAAGCTTGTGTTGAGTCAGATGAAATGATGTGGCTTTCTGGAATTTGTGAATCAACGTGAATCAGTGAGGACATGTTTTATAGTCTTTACTCCGTCATTTAACYTGTCTGTGCCCTCTCTGCCTGACCTCGGTAGTTTTTAATCTGCTCCCAACTTTCTTACAGCTTTAAGTTGTCGAGGTCAAACCTGTTTCCTGTCCTCGAAGCATACGGGGGCAAACTGGAGCTTAAGGAGACGTCAGCTGTGTGTTATTATGACGACACCTCATTCTGACCAGATGTGTGTTTCTGCCTCCTTAAGAGAAGGAAACTCTGCTGCTGACCTTCTAGCAAATAATGACGACATCAGCAGGCTTGATCGAAATAACTTTAACGCCCACCCACTGATAATAATTTTAAAAAAAGTCTCCAAAGGCTCACGCAGAGTTGGACGTATTTATAGGTTTGATGGTTCGACCACGTGTGTGTGTGTGTGTGTGTGTGTGTGTGTGTGTGTGTGTG